CATGAATCGAACTTTTGCGATTATTATAGAGAACTAAATATACAGACAGTAGAATTGTACTTAAAGGTCTATCATCATCAGTTACTAATCGATCAATGGATGGCTACCGTATTGCGGAAAGCACCTTGACATTTAGCAGTGATCGCCCACAGGTTTCTGACATGTAATTTCTTTTCGTTTCTGAGGCGTTTGAAGAGCCTGACGTCTGAAGAAATCCGGGTATGCTTTGAACGATGGAAAAAAGAGATGAGACATATGTATTACCACAAATATGAAGTATTTTGGAAAGGAAAAACCCACATATCCTGGATTATGCAAGATAAAGCTTTTATACCTCATTTTACATAGTTTTATTTTATAATTTCAGCAGTGAATACCAGAATGAGAAAATGTATTTTAATTTGGGCTACTTAATATCCAAGGATAGGACTAAGTTTACAGTAACTTAAACTTTTGAAAAAAGTAATATGATGTATCGTAAAAAATGAACTCTTTTATACTGTTGGTCAAATTAATTGATTTTAGTATAGGGAAATTGTGAAGAATACCAAATGAAATATCACATGAGTGAGATGACTGGATCAAAATTAACTCATGAAATCGGACCTTATGTTTAAATTGAGTAGGATATCAGAAGAAAGAACCACTCACTAACTAATTTAATTCCAAATGTTAGGAAAATAAAACTTATATTCTACCATCAAGATAATATTATTATAACTGTCGTATTAGCTGTTGTATAACTAACTATTCAAAGAAGAGTCATAGTTACACCATAGCTAATGAGTTTGAAATTCTTCTCGTTATATTAGTCTGTATATTCGGAGAATTCATTACTGTTTGTCAAAATTTGTATGAAGGATTCCACAGTGCTATCGATAAGTTTTACGAATATCCGTGTTTGTTTTTGTAAGTTGCAATGGGACCATTGTTGTTGTCTAGCCTATATTTATAGTTGTAGTATTCTAGCTAGGGATTTCTAACTTTTTTTCAAATAGATGACCTGATTAGCTCGAGAGAGTTTTGTGTATTTTCCGACCTTAATTGTTTACTGCGCAATAACTGTTAGTAAATGAATTGTCTTAAACCTATACAGAGTGACTTGATACACGATAGTGATATATTTAGTTTTTCAAAACAATTTGCAAGTAACTCCATGTTGTATTTTTGTTCGACTTTGAAAATTGTATGCGAATTTGTCTGAATTATTCATGCTTTCATATAAGTTAAACAAGACTCCAGAAAGCAGGTGAATAATTTGAACGATATACAAAACAAATTAATTTTCATGGCTAATGGTAATTCACAGAAAATACTGGATTTATAATTCTTACTCTGGCACTTTGACACAGGAGTATGACTTTTTCACTCAATATTTCAGCTAGAAACACTTTTATCAAGCTATTATGGTCACGACTGTCACTCAGTAAAACTAGTTTATGCAAATGAACCGGTTGTATGCAAATCTTTACCGAACTGCTTGAATTTATTTGATTACACAGGTACACCTTTTAGAAAAACTAACCAGATTGGAGTCTAGGTACGAAGTTTTCTAAGGATTCACTTCGAACCTCAATAGCCAAATATACTTTACTGTTATCTGGAATCACATTTTACACTTGATCAATAGAATCTAATCATCACAGGGCTAAACAAAATATAACATTAGTTATTCTTCAATCATTTTACAGTATGTTTCGTGCAGATAAAATTGGTCTTTCAAATTGCTATAATCTATTCTTGTAGCTGATTAGTAAAACATGATTGATTGGTCAGTTAAATACAAGTTATCAATTAAATGCTTCATAAGCATTTTTTAAATATATATTTACTATGTTATGAAAGTAGACTGAATACTATATCTCTTCCATTGGATTTCCTAATCCATCTCATTATACCTTACAAACAAAAGATGTTTGTGAGATAATGTTTATCATTATTGTTCGTATTTAAAGAGAAATGTACTTACTTACATGGTTAGAATAATTGTTTCATCTTCCCATAAAATTAAGTTTCATTAAGATTACTTTATACATACATTCCCCGTGAAGGATTTTAGTCAAAGCTTTTATCAAATAGTTTTAAAACTAAGTTTAAAACTTTGAAAATAAATAGAAGTTTTAATTAAGCTTGATTCAAGCCTATTCAAAGATAATTAATTTCTTGATTTTAATAATACGGTAAGTAGTTTACGCTTTATGTAGTCCCACTAATAAGTAGTTTGGGCTAATTAGTGATATCATCAACTGATTTTTCTCATACTTACAGGTCGATGTGATAGTCAAACTATTGGTGGATTACCTGTCTCATCTATGCTCCAAGAAGCCCATTCAGAAAATTTACGTAATAATCAATTCATCCCAACTGGGTCATCATGTACTCAAAATCAGTCTCGTCATCATTCAACTGGAAATAATCAGTATAATACACAGTTATCAGTGCCATCTAACAATCGATTACTGAATGAATATATGTTTTCTAGTAATAATAATTCAAATAGTGAATATTCGAATACAAATTATACAGAACATAATCCCGGTGCTACAAATGTACTTGATAGTAACATTCATCCATTTTACTCATCTCATTTACATCAAACAACAAATATCATGCATAACGCTATATCTAAATCCATAGAACAATCTCATTCAAATAATGCTAGTCAGTTAGTTCATTCGATTAACGAAGTATCTAATTTAGCAGCAGCTGAAGCGGCAGCCGCTGCCGCTTATGCATACCATCAATATCAACAACAAGCACAAGTTATAAATCGTCAACACTCAATCATTTCACAACAACCACCAAGTGCACACATAAATTATCAAAATTTATTTAATCAAACTAGTCGTTCTTTTAATCATCATCAGCATTCAGGACAATTAGATGAACAATTATCACAGAGAGGAGATTTAACCCTATATAATAATACTATACATTCAGAAAAACATGATCCAAAAGCTGCTTATTTAGCTGAATCTTATCGAAATGCTCAAATTACACCAGGAAGATTTTTATTTTGATGAATTACACACACAAACACATATAGTGAAGTGGATGGATACTTTCACCATCCAGCTTTTTTCTTTTGAAATAGTCTTTCTTTTTTTAAAAAAAGGGAAAAGGATATTGTATTAATTGTTAGTCAAGCCCACATCATACTGTGAAATTTCGATTTTATACACATACCGTCTGGTACTATATGGATTACGATTTACCCCTCTTTAACATAACCTATTATTATTGTGAATAATTATTCTATGCACAAGATCGTTATAACTAAAATAATACATAATAATTTAATGGTACCTCGCATTAATTGGATTCTTCTTTGAATAAATGATCCATGTAATATACATTATACAATAATAATAATTATTATCATTTCATACTTAGTAATTTTTAGTTCCTTAAGCGTAAGGATAGAATAATTGAGAAAAACCAAGATCAAGTTAGTTATCATTATTATTTCTAATTTAATAATTATTTCTTGTAAAATGATATTACAATCTATTTTATATTTGTAATGTTTATTCAATTATTATATATTAGTGTTTCTGTAATCTTTTTTTCTTTTTATTTGTTTGTATTGTCTTAATTTGTGATTTTCAATTGAAGGATTAATTAATAATTTTGATAAGAATCAAACTAGATGTTTCATAAATTTGATATTAATAAGTGATTATAATGAGATGCATTTAAGTGCAATAAGAAAAAATATATTCACTTTTAGTACTGTTCATTAATGTTGTACTACATTTTATCATTCAAATTTTAACAATGCGATTTCAAGATATATACAATGAATTGGACGGTATTCCTACTTCTAGCCCCCCCATCATACTTTTCTTTGTAACAATCATACACAAACACACATAGACATTCATAATGATAGATAACAATCATTTCATTGTTAATCTTATCCTTCCTTACGTATAGAATAATTTTGTTTGATTGTCTTCCTTGTTTGTTTTTTCTTCAAATCTCTACACTTGTCTTTTCTCATCTGTTCTGTTTCTAAACAACGCATGAGTGCTAATATTGCAATTTATGTACCAAATACATCAACGATATAATGTTTAATTCTCTTTCTATAATCATTGTTGTTTAACGGATAAATGTATAAATGTAAAACTAACAAGATAGAGCACTAGTTTGTTCACGCTGTAAGATGGATAAATCTGTACAATTTCTGCAACATAAAATAGGTCAATTTGCTTAATGATTTTTTCTTATATTTACTTTTTTTTTTCTTTAAACGCTCAGTGGTTTATTTACACATGTCTGGTAAGTATAACGAGTATCTGCTTTCCCTGAAATGACCATAATTCTATTGTATCATATCATGATTTATAGAATGATCTCTGTCACTTATTTAATAATAATACGGGCAGTCTTAATTGTTTAATTAATAATTTATAACTATAACTGTTGCATCATACATATATTTTAATTACTTTTCTGAATAAAAGCTGTATGTAAACATTTGTCGTTTACTATTTTTAACTGATAGGTTTCCTGCAATTCACATCCTTATTCTTACATTTCTTATCTGCTGCTACCACGACTACTATTCATTTACATTGTTAGTGAGTAGTTCGAAAATCTGAGAACTTTTTATCAAGGAATCATGCTATTTTCTCATGTTGTATGTACTATACTCAGAACTGATGTGTGTGTTTATACTTTTTTTCTCTCCCTTAATGCACGCGCAAAACAGCACTCGCATGATAATGTTTATTCTATTTGTGAAATATTATTTGTTTTCTTTCTTTTTCTCTTGAAACGAACAATGATATTTTCAGTTCTGTTTTATTTCTTTGAAGTGGAATTTCTTAATTTCATTATAATTTTAAACAAACTTTTATTCGGTTTTGCTTAGCGAAATGGTTTACTACGAATACTGATGATTATGACAAGAACGAAATAATGTGTTGTTACCATTATTATTTCTATATATATTCTTTGTCTCATTGTACAAAAGCATGAATATTAATAGAAATTCAAGAAGTAGGAAATCGTTTTTCACAATAACTAGATCCTTGCTCTTCATATTCTTTGCGTGTAACTAAGAAATGATTGAATGAATCTGAATTTTGACTAAACAAAACACCACCTTCCCAAGCGTAGGTTTGAGGACTAATGTCGTTGTAGGAAAACGAAAGTAGCAAAAAAACAGTTAAATACAGGTAATTATTGTCAAAAGACACTAAACTTAACTAGTCATAGCGTTCATTATAACCTAGTGCACAAGAATGTTTATTGGATTAAGTTTCAAAATTAGTCGTTTTATCGAGTAAAAAAATGCACAGTATATTCACTGAGCCAAGTGATACAAAGTTGAGGGTCCAAGTCTGTATTGGGAAACAAGTTATTTTGAAACTGAAGATACGTTAAAAGATATTAACCCGAAGCCAGAAATATGTTGTTGATTACCTGACAACTTTTGACGACTAAAAAATAAAAACAGCAAGCATTGTAGTCGTAATTCAGAATCAAAGTATAGACGAGTTTATTTAAAACCACAAACAGGGTCAGATTTTAAAAATGTTTGTAGTCATCCTTATCAGCACATTTCCCATCAGTACAGTGAGTGGAGGTCTAGATAATGCAATAGAAGTAAAGAACTGTAGGAAGAAAGACAAAGAAAAAAACATTCTAAAACAATGGATGGATCTGAGATTACGGTTAGTTTTGAGCTATATTTCGTGGATCCGAATGAGGAAGCTTATACTACCCAGACTCATAGCGACTTGATGGATTGGTGCCTACTTCCCAACTTACATAGTCACGTCTCAGTCGTAAACTAATAAAACAAATAACTACCTCATAACTTGGTTGCTGATTACTAAACGTTCGAATAACCTTGAACTACAAATGGCTTAAGTTGAAGAGAGATAAGCAAGCGTTTAGTGTTTAAACAAACAGTTCGCTAGCCAGCATCCCACAATAAGTGACGAAATCTCCGAAAGCACATGAAACACTTTGTCAGCATCACTCAACAAAATTAATTTCTTGTTGTTGAGGTTGATTACAAGATTTCTCAGAAAGTGATGAATCTATAGTGAGTCGGAGGAAAAAGGTATTTCTTTCAAAAGTATGTCTTCTGAGAAGTCCAATAAAAAGGAAGACTATACATTCTTAACGAATACCACTCGAAGAAAACAGTCCAAATAACATGTCATAGTCATTGATACAATCACAAAGCAAAAGCTTTTAGAATTTATCTTGAAAATGAGAGTTAGTAGAAGAAAAATACAACTTACTTAGGGGGTTTAAAGACATTTACTGGAAGATCGTCAGGTGCATGAGTACGAATATCTTTTTGTCTGTAATAAAAATTTACAAAAAAATGTAAATCTAGTCAAAATAAGCAAATAGATATATACATACATTATTGTTGTAAAGTTATCACTTATTCAACGATAAACTTAGCAACTGTTTTTTGGATCTACATTCTTATAAAACGAACTTTATAACTTCTGTAAAATATAAAGCTTCATGCGTGATACAAGTTAATTGTCTATTAGACGAATAAAATAATTTCTATCCGAAATAAAAGATAATTGTAATTAGTGGATCCAATTTAATTTAATTTTGAACAAACAAATACATGATATTCTCAAAATAAAGTAAACTAATAAGAATTCTACTTAAATTGAATAAAATATATATAATCAAATTTGAAACAAATAGCTCAAAATTGAAAAATTTCATGATCTAAAACCAATAACGAAACTAATAGATAAAAACAAATAATCAAATGAACATTTAGTTTATTAGTTTGAAATTATGAAAATATTACTACTTTATGAAGAGTTTATCTTAATTTTTATTTGAAAAAACAAACAATTCAATTTTTGTTAGTAATAAATTTCTCGGACAAAAAAAAACATACAGTCTGAATGATTGACCTTATTCATTAATATTAACCTGATACAATAAAGTTGTACAAATGATAGAAATACATGAAATTATTTAGACTAAACAAATTAATGAAATAAGGTAATAATAAATTAGTATAATGGAGTTACATCTTAAAATTTGAACTTCATGTAACTTAATTATTAAATAGAAATTTGTATACTTTGTTTTATGAGTGGAAAAGTTAATAACACTACTTCACTGTTTAAACAGTTGAGTAGATAAAAAGAAAATAGAACTTGGAATTTAATGGTAGAAAGTTAAGTGATTCAATCTACTAAACCACACCCTTTGTATGTAAAATAATAACACTATAAGACATAAATTGGATGAAGTTGGTTTGGAACTGTAATTGGTAAAAAAAGTAACTAAGTCGTGTCCTTAAGTGAAAAAATACAAACAAATAAACAAACAGATGGAACCATTGTACAAGCTAATATTGTAACTCTAACACAAGCAATAAAAAAGAGGACATGCTAAGAAGAAAAGAATTCATTCATTACAGATAATAGAGTTGATTATTACATTTCCACTAACTGTGTGCTTCGGTAAAGTTTCCTCAAACAATTCAATAATTCATGTTTGATAGTATCGTATGGTCAACTTACAACTTCTCTTCAAAATAGAAATTTGCCAGGTTTTACGTTGTGTATGAGATTATCAGTAAAAACAAGTTTGAATAAATAAATTTTAAGAACTTCTTGCAAATACAATCTCGGATATTTCGTTTATGGTGGGATGTTAAGAGAAAAGGTGAATAGCTACTAGCTATGCGTCACTATCTGCATTTCACAACTGCCTTTATTTTCTGGCGTTGGCTACTCCCCAAAAAACAAGTCTTATGAAGAAGATGGATTGGTAGAGACCAAAGAAGACTGATTCAACGAAGCAGTACATGTGTACATTTACAACAACTCTACAAATAGGGTGAAAGATTAACACGTCAAAAGAACTGAGGGGTAAATGGAAAACAACATGTTTTTATCACGTTGAAAATGAAAGTCGGTCGGTCAGTTAGTCACAATGTAGAACCTGGTATATGTGTACAAAGAGATGAAATTGTCAGGCTAAATTCCAAAATAGTGGAGGTCGTCACAGTATCAAGTATTGACAGAAAAGACCAGGCATCGAAGACACAACTGAAGAAAATATAGATCAGTGAAATGAAGAGAATTATGAGGAATTCAGAGGGTCGGAATCTAGGTGAATTTTGTCTATGCATCTTTGTCCAGATCAGAAACCAACCTGGCTTTCTCGGGTTTACACCTCACGAGCACTAGTTAGACGCCGAAGTATTATTGAGGCTAATGTTTTAGATACTATATTAGTTAAAGTGATTACTCCGTGATTGTCAGAAGAGGATTTTTGTCTTTTCTAATAGACTGGGACGGTTAGCTATGGAGACCAGTCAGATGAGATTACTTCTAGTTCTCAGAGATTTCAGTTAATCTAAGTGCTAAAACTGGACCACTATCCATAAAAAACTCAGGAGTTAGTTCACAGGTCCTGCTGCTCTCTCTCGCTTTAGATTGCTTATAGCCTTTACAACCTCACTTACAGTTGAAGGAGTTATAGCAATTTACTATTCAGATTGCTTGAAGATATTGGGTAACTGAAGACCAGTTGAACAAGAAATGTGAATGAAAAAACCCGTGAGAAAATTTGGACGAAAAATAAACAGAAATTCAAATCTACGAAATAATCACTTATTAGGTGTTTACTTGGAGATACAACATTCCTAATACATGCAAGCAAAACATATAAGAGAAATACGATTAACATAGAACCACCTTCGACTTGAATGACATAACATTGGCATAATTCAACCTCTTTGTTTGTACCAAATATTTGTTTTATTTTCTAGTAGTATTTAAATTTGTGTACCGTATATTATTATTGTTAATGGCTTTATTCAATATTATATATTTAGTACAATATAGAATTCCCAGCAGAAAGTATTCCAACAAGTTTCTATTTTTAAAAAACAACAACAACAGATAGCCTAATACATATATGCATAAATCAAGATTTTCTTCATTAAAAAAAAAGTGACTTATTCTAAGTCACGAAATATCAGAAATTTTATTTGTTTACTTATTAGGATATTATAATAATACCATTATTTTATTAATACATTACATAAATGAAAATGACATATTTCGCAGTTCATATTTTAATTTGTTGATATTATAATGTCATGTGAAATGCTAACTCTGTTTGTCGTTGTATACACGAAATCAAAGTCTTAATTAATTTCAGTTATAAGAATATAAACAAGTTAACCGAATTTATTATTAAAAAAACAAAACAAATGAATTAATGACAAGTAAAGTGTTCGTAACACGTAACTAATATACAAAAACTGAACATGTAAATACATAGATAATTTAGAAGTATGTTCTTAACCTTTTTAAGAATAATCATCTATAATAATAATAACAATCCCAGATAGGATATCTAAAAGATAATGAGGACTGACTTCATATTAACTTAATGTTGCTTTTCAAATAATATTAATAATAACAATAGTATATTTAATTGAAACTGTCTTAAGTAGTAAATATTCGAAATATATTAGAAAAAAAGAAAACAATATGTATAATTGCACATACGATGAAACAATAAACAAGTGAGAAACTCCAAACTAATATTGAAAGAAAAGATTAACTCGTACGGGAAAATTGTGTTATATGTGACCGTCTAATATTGGTTTCAATCGTAAAGGACGGTACTTATCAGTTGATGAAAAGTATCAACAAGAAACATCATGGTAAAAATGTCATGGAACCGTGTGTGATGCTTTTCGTTCGATTTAAATTTGATTTTCTTCATAAATGGATAACAAAGAATACACTTTAAGAACTTAGGTAGTAAATGCCAGTTATTTGTCTTTCGTGTCTTAGTCTTAAGGAATCGAGATAAAACCCTATAAAGAAAATAGTAGTTTTTATGTCATTGGACTTAACACACCTTCGATCATGATCGATCCATTATTTAATCACAATTATCATATGTGTAAATGCCAGCGACTGGTTAGAAAACCCACAAATACCCTTTCAAAACCAGGAGAGTTTCAATATGATTAGTCACTAATGATTATGGCAACACTTACTGTCGGGGAGTATTCGTGTTGATTATTACTTTGGAATTCACCAGATACCTCATTATCTATTATTATGCCATTTTTATTTGAAACTTTGGTTGGATGTTTATGTTCTATTCTTAAGTATTTGATTGACTTTGCCAAGGTATTCGAATTTCGTTATACCACAATCAACGTGATGAACATAAGATAGTAAAATGCAACGCACTACTTGTTTTATGAAGGATTTTCGAAGAAAGCTTATACGACCTATTTTGGCGCGTAACGTCAAACGTAATACGACATGTTCGGATTACTTCATCGATCGATAGGAAAGTCACAAGAACTTTTTCTTTTACATAGGATATCAGACAGACTTAAATACAAACGCACATATATATGCAAAACGTTGTCGGACCTCCCAAAAGGATAAACACAAGTATGCACACTTTGTCTACAACATGTATTATGCACAAACACAGACGTTGTATTGTTTTTAGAATTGATTTAAAATGATAGGTAATGAATTAACACACATGTCATAGAGAATACAACAAAACGAATGGATGTATACGTCAAATCATGAAAACTAAAAGAAAAATCACAACAGATATATATGCAAAAGATATGCATATTCCATAAGTAATAGTTAAGTGATTATGTGTTTGAGAGAAAAGAAGTTACTAATTGAAGACACTAAAGTGTGATTAGTTTTATCAAACTAACAACTGATAGAAAAGGAAATTACTGTGTTAATAACATGAAACTTATTGACTACTGAAAGTCATTAGCAGGTATAATTTGATCTAATACGAGCTTCAAAGATTGACTCACATCCCGGTTACATTATTAAACACAAAACAATTATATTTTTATATGTAAAAAAGTACACGCATATTTATTTGGTTATAGGCCAGACTTTGTGTGAGGGATAGTGATAGTAACACACTGCTAGGAATAAGCTAGAAGGGCAGTTATCCAGCAGCGAACACAGTGGTGAACATTTTAATGCTGCAAAATCAATGAGCCCTATTTAACTGATTAGTAACACTTATGATCTATCTAAATAGTGAGAAATTTAGGCATATTATGTCTAGCTTAAAACATTAATATCGTTAATTCAATTTGAAATGGACCGGATTATCCCATTATTCATATTTCTGACTAAAACTTAATCAGTATTGGTTGGCAAACATGCATCCTGTGCAAATGGCCTCCATATAGCCACTACAACAGAAGTTCTTGTAGAATAGGACGTCACCGCGTTATCCAATTAGCTACTGAGTCCAAATAGACACTTACTTGTGTTCGAGTCCCAGAGTGAACAATAATTCTGGGCTGCAGAGTAGATTAATTTAAGTAAATGGAACTCAATAAAATTTTCCAGCAGCAGTAGACTTTTAATACTAAGTTCTTATTAAATATTAAAATCATGCTTATAACGCCGTCATAACACTTTAAATGCACTGTAATGAGAGAGAACATGAGTGGGGCTAACCAAATGTATTGGAATACAAAATTATAGAATCTCTTAGTAAAATCTGAGAACCATACAATAATATTTCATTTACAAAATATTCATCAATTGTCTCAGACCTTGTTGTCCCTTCGTTCCCATATCAATCAATCTATGTTCCCGTTCTCTTCGCTTCGATTTTCTCAACCTTCTGCTGCCAGGCATTCCACTTTCGAGTGGTGATACATAATACTTATATATATCGACATCAGTAGCACTTACAACAGTACTAGTTATTTTTTACTTAAAAACTCGTTTGCATGATAAGTAAAAATCTGTTTATGGATATAAATTCGAGATTAAAACGTCTTTTAGGGTATAAATTATTCAGATTAACAAACATATTTGGCTGAACTCGTCAGAGAATAAATTCAATCGGGAATTTATTTATTAAATAGAAAATAAGTTTTTCTATTAAAGAAGAGTATTTACAGTCGACCTTCATGTGTAAATGAAAGCGAACAGGATAAATAATCATATCCAAAATATTTTTCATTACATTGACTGTAATGCTTTTCAAGTTTGAATTTTGTATTGTCACAATCTTATCACATTAAGTAAACAGTTATCTAGTCCGATAAAAAGGCCATCGAAAAATATTTTAATACAAATCATTTGGCTACTTAATCCATGATTTAAGTAACTCGTCGATATGTTTGTAAAAATCGCTTATTTATGAGAACGAATTTCTTTAGTGAAGTTAAAATTTCCACCAAACTTTGAGAACGATGGTTTCATCTGACTTTTGACAGCTTTAAATTTCATGAGTGTATACAGATAAGAACATCATACCATATGTACCGCGTGAAATGACAAAAAGCCATATTAATGACAACTTAGTAGAAAATTTACTTGAATTCGCATAAAACCTAATAAAGACTTACAATCGTTCTGCAAATCCTGGAAAACATGCATTACCACCCATAACCATAAAATTTGCCCAAGCCCCTGGCCTTACTGCAGCCGGTAATCGTTCACTCATCAAGTAATGGATGGCTTCTGTAAGCCCCATTTCTTGATAGCCCACATCAGATGGATGGAAAATCAATTCAGGAACTGTAAAACGCTCATTATTCAAACGTAATACATATCCTTGCTGTGACAGATTGGAAGCCCGTTGTTCTGATTTATCATTACCACTATTTTCAGGAACCACTGCATTAGGATCACGAACATATCCACGGTGAACATCAACATAGTTTGGTAGTACATATTCTCTTAAAATGGTATTTGATTTTGGGTTTGATCTATGTAAAAAAAGTAGAAACAGACAAAAAACCTACTAACAAATATGCACGGTTCATATAATCAACAAAATCAAATGAAAAACGAAATGATGTAATAGATCACACAAACACACAACACTTAAGAAGAGTGAAGTCAAAAGCAAAGTAGATTAAATTCTACTTCGCCATATATATATATATATATATATATATATATATATATATATATATATATATATATATATATATATATGGCAGACTTGAATAATTGAACCAAAAACCTCCAAATAAAAAAAGAGAATCGAGAGATATTCTGAAATAGTAGTAAAGTTTAATTGCCTTTTGTTCTATGGTTCATATGGAATAAGTATCTCCTCAGACTTTTCAATAATTTCCACCAATAGACACATAGCTAAAGATGAATACATGTAACAAGTCCGGTTAAAAAAACTCAGTTATGCAAGATCATTTTATCGATTGAAAAGTGACTTGTATCGCTTTACAAAAAGATGCTACCGGTTTATGATATTAAATAAATGATCATACTAACAGATGAGCATAATACTCAGAAGATAGTGGTGACTAACCACGGAGAGCCTCACAATACCTGTGCACAATGAGGACCTTTGGGGTTAGCTGTACACGTAGAAACGTCATGTACTTGAACCTTTTACTTAATGCGGAAGTGATCACTTTGAAACAAGAATCATGTAAAGATGGTGCATGGTACTAAAAATGCAATAATTAACGAGTAACTAAATCCTCGCGATTCCTAAAAATACAGCATAAGGTACCACATTACGAACGATAATATTTTAAGAAGACTCACCGAGAAATCTTCATATCTTGCCAAAAGTCAGTAGATACATAACATACATCTTCTTTGCACTGATTCATTATATATATCTCACTTCGAACATCCAAATGTCTATGGACAGAAAATTATAGTCATAGTCAATTATAAAACTTACCTATAGGATACAGCTTCAATCAAACGATTTGTAAGAATTTTCCCACCTACCGTTAGCCTTGAATAGACAATTAAAAATAAGTTTTTTAAAAAAAGACAATAAAAATCCTCATTGAAAGGGTAAATACCGTATGACAAAATCTTTCATAACAAATCCATCAGCCATAGGTACAATATGTGTAAATGAGTATCCAGAGTCAATAACTATACAATATCTTGAAAGACGTTGAGCTGATTCACTTCGATATTTGTAAGCGCTTAAAAATGCAGCTAAAAAATCAGTTAGATGTCGGATTAACACTTACGATTTGTGCGGATCAAACCAGCCACCTGATAATCTTCAAAAAAAATTTCATTCATAGCTTCTTTAGTTGATGAAAAGTTGAAATACGGCTCAGTAACAATTAGATTATGATCGGATAAAGAATTTTGCTGAAAAAAAACATAATAAGGGGATAAAATCTACTTACAGAGTTTGTTTTAACTATGCTTTTAAGAGTTGTGTCCAAAATTTGACATTGAACCTCCCAGTTGTTAATATAGCCCTAAAAATAAGAAAAATGTTCTGCATAAGTATATATTTATTGAATGGAGATTCTTCTAAAAAAGATATAGATTACGTCAAATCCTTTATAAATGATGAATATTCTACTGTGTAGCCTTTGATAATGATGGAAAACAATGAGCGACTCTTTTAATAATTATAATCTAGTTTTACAGGGACGTTGTCTACACCCAAAACTGCATAGGTTAATGGTGCGAGAACCAAATTGCAATCATACGGGAACGTAAAATCGATAAGTTTAATTACACTGGAAAACAAAGGTGAAATTTAGCTAAAAAAATATGTATATTTATGTAAAAACATGAAATTGCCTCATAAATAAACACAAACACAACTATGAAAGTCAAATAGTTATAAATGCACGAGAATTTTACTCACTTTTGTTTATCAAATGAAGAAAGTGAAATATCATATTTTGATCTACAACCGATATTAACATTATAATATATATTATAGCAAAGGTATTTTCTAATAAGATAGACTGATTGACCTATAAACTATTTACCAACCATAAAGGTGAAATTCGAATCACTATATAACCGGTTATTTGGAGTATATCTGATGAAAATAAAACTACTGTTTTAAATGCCAAATAGCAGTAAAAACTAGTGGCAAGAGTTACTTAAGACTCACCTGATGGAAACCAACACGAGGCTTATGAACTGTCTTTACATCACAAGACCAGATATAGGTGCATTCTGTACATATACGGTGATTGTACAACTCACATGCAGAATTAAATTATTCAATGTCTGTTGGTATAAACCTACTATTTGCTTGGGATGTTTTAGGACTGCTAGCCACTTTTTTTGTGTTATCACTGTTTAATCAGTCAGAACCAACGTAGAAACTGGCAAAAATGTGAGTTTGTCAAATTTCTCAAACTATATCAGCACAGTGAAATGAAATTATTAAGGCAAATGCTGGAGAATTAGAGGCGGTGATAATAGAAAAGATTAGACCAGCAATAGGTTTCAAGAAGAATGAATTCGTGGAATAAAAGGTATAGAATAACATCTAAACTTTAAATGAAGACAAAGAGTAGGTGCATCTGTGCAACTGCTAATAATCTCGAATCTTTTCACTAAAAATCCCCAACCATTTGCTATGGTGCTCACGCGAACCCCGGCCGGGTAGTCTTCATTTACTGGGATAGCTCAAACTAGCAGTTAATTACTTCATGGGTTGGTGCTATCTTGATTTAGGAGTCTAACTTTCTACCAACCCACTCCTACACCTGCTAACATCGCGCACCGAGGCAGATAGTGAATCTACATACGTAATACATGTACCAACCATCTTAGTCAATGAAGATTCAAAACTTTACAAACCGATTTATCAACTTGCCTAGTACCATATGCCTTAGCGCAACACCGATCATCTAATTGTCCCACGATATCGGAGTAATGCATCAAAAACACCAGTAAACAAGTACTAATAACCTACAAATATCCTACATTTTTAAAGACTATGTTACGCAACCATAAAGCAGTACCGAGAAAACTACTGTGCAGTATACACGCCCTTCTAATTGGCAGACGAACATCTCGTTTATACCACAAAAGACGTAAGTTAATAAAAACCGACTGGTCTCTGAGTCCATGTCCGGATTTTGTTGGACATGATTAGTGTTGATGTTATGTATGCTATTGTGTCATAATACAGGCTTAAAACTACATTCGTTGTATGGAAAATCTACTTTTAAACCACTAGTTATACAAACCAATGGCAGCATCTCGAGCTTAATAGAAGAAAAACGGTTAACTAGGAGAGCAAATGAAACATTCGACTAACAGTAACGTCACAATACCTACTTTTTTGAATGGCATGACACAAAATAAACTCGACAAATTATTGCATTGTTCTATTTCATTTCCAACGAATGTGCGACCACCAAGCGTTTTTGACTTAAAAATGGAGTTATCAATAATCCTTTTGGAAAATAGGGACAATTATACGGAAAAAGCAAAATTACTTAGGATGAGGATCTGTAGAAAATCCAATTTTTAGTGATCCACCACCCATATCGAGTATCAATGTTGGTGATGCCATTATTATAATGAATTAGAACATATATTTAGAGTTATTGCACGAGCTAAAAAGGAATATAGAAGTGAAGAACATAAAAATACAAACCAATATACTACCATTTTAATGAGAAAAATGACTAGATCGCACAATATTTACACTTTACAAATAAGTGTTATGCAGACTACATTACTGCTTCTAGATAGTTTTTAATGTGTTTTGGTTTGCGAATTAATATATACTTGTTGTCTTGTTATCTTTTAGGTCCTGAACATAGTGTTATTCCACACATATGACTCCCCTACTGTTGGCTTTTTTCCAACTTTATACTTTACGCTTAGTTTATTACTTCCATTGTGAACCATTTCTCATCTTGGCTTTTAATCGTTTTGGTCTCGCCGCGTTGTAGTGAGTTGCGACAATTTCAACAAATACAAATTATTCCCAGGGATTATGATATTTAAGACTGACTGAATTAGGTAGCATTTCTGCTTCAAAGCTTGATCTTACGTCGCCGCTTCATTATAAATTATATCAGCAAAAAACCTGAGAAACGTTTAGCTTGGTTTACGTTGACGTAACAACGAAAACTGGTGTTATTATTAAAGATAAACTATATGATTTGGTTAATTGAGATCATGTAATGGAGGCTTAGCATTATCGCTTGAAGCTCCAAAGATTTCATTTTTACGAGAACTTTTCAAATATGCCAAGTTAAAGGTCAATTACATGCAAGAGTAATGCCACACAAATCTGCAGATCTAAATCTTGTTACCATCAATAGCTAACGAATATCTAGGTAGTTTAGACAAGATTACTATGTTTAATACCCCATAATTATTATTAATTTATAAAATGTTGTTTCTCATCTTAACCCAATCCCTCGATTTCATGGAAAATTTATGTTTCTCGGAAACTGAAATAGAAAATTTTGGGGAAATGTGAAAAAACCCCAAATTTTCCCTGGTCTCGGGGTTGCCCTAGAAAAATTTCAAGTTATTTTGGGGAGATCCCCAGAACGTTTGTTGAAATTTTGGTTTTCCCCCAATATTTCACCAGAATTTGTGAAAAATTAGGAATTTTCATACGACTTTGAGGAAAACTCCGAAATTACCCAGGATTTCCCTACAATACAGAGATTGGGAGGTTCCAATTTTGAAGGATCAGTGTTTACTGAATCTCCAGATCTGTGAAACAGCCACTACAGTACAATGAGTTGTGACTGTCAAAGGGCGTAAGCTAGGTACTAACGCAGAAAGGGTTGGTAATAAACAGTACCTGGTCATAAAGCGGTAGTCCGTATAAGTTTTGAAAACTCGGGCTATAGTAAAGATACAAAAATGATTTGGGAGAAAATTCACGCGCGATAATAATTATGCAGGATTTTATTATAATGATTATTCACCCGATTAATACGGTTATGGGAATACTTATATATTAGGTGTTATAACACCCAATGTGTTTCACGTCTGCTTTTCGTAAAACCTCCAGATTTCACGAATACATAGTTATGAGACCGATCAACATATTATGTTATATTATTCTCACTACAGAAACATTTTTTCATTAGGACGAACTGATATTTTTGGGAAATGTATGTATGTACTAACGTTCCAAACATACGACAAAGTAACGTAGACTTCATGTTGACCACAGCATTTTCAAGGTCCAGTTTCTTGGCGCCCGCTTGTTGTTTCGGTCTGGCTCCAAGTATTTGGTTTTGTTCATCAAGTAGTAGTTTAGCCACTCAACTACGCTAATTATTGTCAGCTTGGTAGTTGTTTGTCAATTTTTATACTTTGTTTTTTGACTGATTGTTCTGGGATTCAGGATATCAGTAGCTATCAAATTGCCAGGCAGGTGATCTATCAGTTACAACGTAAACAATAATGAAATCAAAATTGGAACACTAAGAGGATATGGCTTTTTTAATAAATAAGTAAATAAATTAATAGGTCAATTCATTGATATCGAGGATAGTGTAAGAATAAAATATGGATGATAATAGGGGAAATAGAGAGTAGTTGCTGATATATGATAATGATAACAGCGCTAAATTATGAGACATTTATCTGGCACGGCTGGTCTAAAAGGGTGACAGTAATCCATGGGTGAGTAAGTATTTGTCAAGTCTCGTTTTGAAGCTGTCGACTGAGAGGCGTGGGTCACTTCGACTTGGAGAATGTTCCAAGTAGGGGAAACTCTTGGTAAAAATGTGGGGCCGTATCTGAGTCTTCTCTATTTGATGTGTAGGCCCTCATGGATTACCTCGAGCGGCGTGATGGTCATGTTCTGCTAGTATTTCGGTGTGGGTTGGAGAACTTTATATGCTGAATACCATTATAGAACCACCTCATATTCTCCTACTGCTCAACGAGGTTAATCCAAATTGTTGGAGCCCGTCTTTTCATGTTTTAGTCCTATCATACACTGGTTGCCTGTTACCGTGCTTGGCCTATGGGATTTAAGTCTTTTAAAGTGAGAGTATAACAACATTGTGGACTTCAAGGTAGGGCGGTGCGTATGTTTCGAACAGTGTTAGGAACAACTCTGGGATGATCGCATCAAGTTGTCTTCGAACAAAGTAGAGATTTACGTTTACCTCTGCTGCATACCGATATCACGTTCTAACGTGACAATCGGGAGCGTATTCCCACGGCGGAAGTAAGATCCCTGTGTCGAAGGGGGAAAATATTTATAATATGACAATTCGACAGACTGATATTTGACCATTGGAAAATTCCAGTAAAGAATTTCATTTCAACGAATTTATTATCAAGCTGAACAGTTTTTCAGAAATACGATTGTACAGCTTGATACTAAATGTGATGAAAAAAGATACCTTTGCCAAACTTCGTGTTTTTAATGTTCAAATTGGAATTATATGCTTGTTGCACAAATGCAAGGATCTCATGACAACGGGTTTTTCTGTTACACTGTCAAACTCGCATTAGTGAAGTGTGAGGTCTATTTTTTCGAAAGCTTCATAGAAAGTAATTATTATTATAAACGTTTCTGGAAGGTACTAGAGCGAAACTATATTCATCCCAATGGGAAAACACTCAAACGTCAAGCACTTAACTGTATCGATGCTATTAAATCTCGACTAGTCAAACTAAAATGTAATATATCTCTGAGAAGTCACTCATTGTTTGAACCGTAGTTAGATGAAAGTAAGCAATTCGAGGATTATTTTGCTAATGTTGCTGAGGCACAATCACAAAAAGTAAAATGTAAACACTTGGAAAAATTGCGTGCGTACACAAAACTAGTAAGTTTCCAGAACATCCCGAAATGTACGTACATAATAACACTTTTATAACGCTTTCGTCGATCCAAATGCAGGATCTATCATTAGATACCAAATTCTGTAATAGCCCCACTAAGAACAGTAAACTTCACGTGCACATGCGATTCGGAAATCTAGCAAATCAAACTCATGACCTTGCGCCTATATCCGTACAAGACCTTCAGCATTTGTCATGAACAGATTTACACACAAGTAAGTAAGAATAACTTACTAACTAGGAATCATATGTATTATCTAATGATTCTGAAAAGTGAGGATTTCGTCCTAAGTGAAATTGACAAAAGAGGCTGGTGTGGCACTCCTTGATCTTCAAAAATATTTGTAAAAAATGAAGCCAATCTTAGAGGGTGATACTAAACTTTCCAAACCAAAAGAAGTAGACAAAACACTGCAGATCGAGAAACAGCTAACTGATATCGTTAAAAGTTCCCGTGGTGTATTTTTATCCACATACGGCATTTTTCTCTAGATTTCCACTTCAGATAGACTTTGGCTTATCCTTTCCCACAGTAGGCTGTTGCTAATGAAATACAGCAGACAGGCATTCAGTATTTTGTGCAAAAGTCGTTTATGAATACCTATGCATCTTGATGATATTTGTACTAGTTCTTCAAGTTTAAGCTCTCTATATTAGAACTGTCTTGACGTTCGTATCGAAAATTTTCACTTTGATATTAGTTGACAGTTGTTTTGAGTTCTAGGTGTTCTACAACTGTAGGAATACTGACATTGATTTGTCAATTCATGTATTCACATTTGCACCGGATCTTCCTTGTTCATTGATGATGCTGTTCAGATATGTGAACTTTCACATCTCTTCCAGAACTTCTCTATCAAGTGTGATTGTGTTGATGTTCTCTGTTCACTTCGCTATGATTTATTGTCGTCATTGCTATCGTTAATGAGTTCATAACATTGGATAACATTCATTATGACCCCCTGCTTCTTCGTTTTGAAGAATGCTTTGATGATTTTAGATTCAAGAGATTCCTTTTCTATAAGTGCTTCACATGCTTTTTGAACAACATTAGAGCAACTCCCTTACTGTGATTGGCATTTTCTTCTTCGTGGCTAGAGTACAACAGCATCTCTCCCGAATCTAATCTATTTTGTATAGCCTGAGTTGAATGTATCTACTTATTTCCGTAACTATTTGACTGGTCCTCCTGGTTCCCTACACTGTCCAAACATTCCACACACCTATGAAAATCGTTGCACCGGTTTCGTGCCCTCCGGATAATCTCGGCTTTCACCAAGAGGCGTCATAACTCTTCTTTCAAATAAGAGGACAGAGTTTAAATGGTTTGATTCGTTAATTCTGGGCGTCGATTTCTAGCAAGGTTGTTTTTTACAGCACGGGAATGCTGACAACATGCCAAACCCTTCTCCTTTGTGCGGGCTTGGAACCTGCCGTAGCCCTAGACCAGCTACAGGCGGAGGTAATGTTCCAGTAGAACGAGGAAAATCTATGATTTGTAAGTGTTTATTCAGCCTCCTCCTGCAAAATGATCTTCTGATGGGGCTTCGTTCTCACTGTTTGGGGTTTACATCTGTTGAATTTTCAACCGGTTTTTGTATTCACTCCTCTGACTGAGTTTTATTTTTGGATTTGACGTTCTTTTATAAGAATGACTACTCTGTGAATTACTCTACGACCGATTTGAATTTCAGTTGTTTACCTTCGTCCGTGCTCTCGCAGTTCTCTCTGATTTAA